CAGTGTCACGTATTGTGAGGAAGACACGAATTTTAGAAAATTTTATTAATATATAACTTGAATGTACTTTGTAATAGGCCAAAAAGTCTATACTAGTAACTCGTTCTTACTTCGCTCAGACTTCATAATTATTCTAGCAACTACGCGCATAATACTTACTATACGCGAATAATTAACATATTTGAATAATTATTTTATTTGCTAGGTTACAAATGGGCTATATTCTTTTCCGAGCCATAATCTAAAGTAAAAAGTATCTTATATATTGACCCGGATAACCAGCTATCACCATACAAAATTTCATCGAAATTCCTCCAGTGGTTTTTCTGTAATGCGGTAACAGACAGACAGGCAAAAATTCTAAAAACTATAGACTCGGCCTCTGTATCGATAATAATGTTTATTTCAATAAGATTTTCCAAAAAATATCTAATCTACAGATTCGGCTTTGTTACAATTTTATTATATGTATAGATATACATAATAATATGTCAAAATATGCAACCTTTTTCGAATGCAATAATAATTTACAAAGTCACTATTTTAATTAAATTATTCTTATTAATTTTTTTTGGCACCGGCTGTTGCCTCGCTCCATTCTACGCTATAATTATACAAACAATAAAGCATTATTATATATGTAAAAAGTCTTACTTTCTTTTAGTATTATTACACATCCTAACTAGTTTGTACTTCGTTCTTTTTTACAACTAAAGCCTTCTTTATAAATATAAAAAAAAAATCAACTTTTTTAATTCACAGAATCTGTACTACGTTATTTATTCTCATTATATGTATTTCTATAACAATTGAACTATACAATATACCTACTTATACGTAGATATAAGTCAAGTTACTTATATAAGGTTCATACTTTACTACTTTGACGACACGTTTGGCTCAGTTGTTAGTGACTATACTTGATGTGCCAGCGGTCGCGGGTTCGTGTCCCGCTGGGGGCATTTATTTGTGTGATGAGCACGAATGTTTGTACTCCAGTCATGGGTGTTTATATTTATAACATGTATGTATTTAAAGTTATATATGTGTAGTGTATCAACTATCTGCTATCCATAACACAAGCCTCGTAGCTTACCATGGAACTAGATGGTGCTGTGTGTTAATGTCCCAACATATTTATTTATTATTATTATTTATACTTATCGTTTTATATGTGCGTAATCCTGCGTTTGTATGTAAGTTTCAAAATTTGCTCTGTTCTAAACGTTTATCACAGTGAAAAATGCATGGTAAAACTGTAACCTGAAACCTAAGTTGTTAACCTAGTTCAGTAAGTAGTAAATATTATATTACCTTGTGAAAGTATCTGAATGACGTTATTATTATTATTTAATTATTTATATGCAAATAAAAATTATCATTATATAATGAATATAGAAAAGCTTAGTAAAAAAGCTACCGATCATAGAATTTCTTTAGTTTTATTTATATACTTTCATGGAAATAAGCGACTCAAAGCGTCCTTAACCTAGGCATAGGCTTATATCTTCAGTCCAAATATTCGGGTTTCGGATGATTTGAACCCATTGACATAGAAACAATAGTCGAACCCATTCAACTAGTATACATTCTGTATAGTTATTAAAAAACCTTTTTATCCCTTAATATATTATGACGATCATATTTATTATATACCCGTACATATATTTATATACGTAATTTGTTAGCTGAAAAGTATTTTTGTATATATTTCTATGATATTCAAAATTATATTGTCAATATAATGTAAATGAAAAGCAAACACATGCTTCCAAAATTTTATTAACGGAACAAACGCCATTAAATATAATCGCATCGTAACCAACATTCTATTTTACTACAGTGAGCTTTATTGTTTATATACGTAGCTTTTTCGTCATTTTACTGTTTCCGGCCTTCATGGAAATCCAATTTACACGAACTGCTTACTTTTTAATTATGAAATGCGATATTACGCACTTTATTTTAAAATATATCATATTCTAAATATGATGATGATGATGATGTTCTCCTGACCGATTCCGGCTACGGCGGCCAATCTCATAGAGAGTAGCCAACTGTGCAGGAGATATTATAGTGCACAAGTGTACGCGCAGACACAAGTGCACTCTCTATTCCTGTCACTCTCATATTCTGGTGGGACGACCACTCGACACGACCGGTGAGAGTTAAGGCGCAGGACCGACGGCTTTACGTGTTCTCCGAGGCACGGGGGTGAAACACCGCCAACTTCCCAACTCCGGGCTGTTACTGAGACTTACTATACAGGAAGACTCAATAACTAAACTTGGCCCGACCCGGGACTCGAACCCAAGACCTCCGGGTGTGCAGCCGTACATGCTAGCCACTACACCACCGAGGCAGTTTAAGTTTTTTTTCTAAATATACGTACGAGTATGTATGTTAAAGATCTTGGTAATAAAGCGAGTAGGTACTAAAACTTAAGTCTTACATTTAATGAATAATAAACCCCAGTTCTAAAATAAATGGAAAACTGTCATGCATAAAACGTAATTATATTTGATGGAATTACTATTTATATATTTAATAGGGAAATTCTAATTTTAAAAAAGTGCACATATGAAGAGTATTTAGAAAACTAGTATTGCCCGCGGCTCCGCCCGCGTTCAGTTTACCAAAAACCCAATTCTTATATTTTACATATTAGTATACTCTTACAATGCAGTTTTTGTATTTTTTCTCAGAAATGAGATTTTTTCCTGCGGTAAAAAGTATCCTATATTTTGACCCGGATAACCAACTATCATCATACCAAATTTCATTAAAATTCCTCCAGTGGTTTTTACGTGATGTGGTAACAGAGAGACAGACAAAAATTCTAAAAACTATAGATTCGGCCTCTGTATCGATAATAATGAGTTCTTCAATAAGATTTTCCCAAAAAAATATTTAATGTACAGATTCGGCTTGGTTACAATTTTATTATATGTATAGATAAATCTTCGTCTTTTACTTTAAAAGACTAAAATTTTCAGTTTATTTATATAAATACATACATTAATTAACTATTTCTTCTTGAAACTCCTTAGAGTTCTTGTTGAAACATAAGACTATTGTAATAATTATAATTCAGCCTTTTTAACTGTCCACTACTTGACACGGGCCTTTATTGCTAAGTAAATCTAACCACAGTCCACCAAACTACCAAGAGCGGCTTGATGGACTTTACATGTCTTCCGAAAACTAATTAAGTTCTCTCAAACATACAATTTTCCTTACGATGTTTTATTTCAGTAAAGTACAATGTATTTGCATTTTAGAGAAATATCACTTTTTCAAACTTATCATCTTGTCGTCATCAACTCATGCTTACAATAATTTACGCGTGAAAATAAATATTAGAGTGCGAGACTGGATCTCCACGGGAAACCCCGCGGGTTTGAACTCGTATCACGTGGTTTTCCAAGCTAACGCATTAGTACTGGGTTAGTTAGCACTCCACAGTATAATTATACTAATACTATTACTTTTAATTTAAATTAAGTATTAAATACAAATTTGTGTAACAAGAAACTATACGTTACCAACTATATATACTTGCATTTGAGTTTAATACTGTCATCTTATCTCACTTTTCAAAAAATATTCTGATAATATACATTGTCTAAGAGATAAACAGAATATTGGATGAGTAAAAGCTGTAAGCTTAGGTCGTAAAGTTTGTCATTCAATTTCCTTTGACTACCATACAAAGTGCTATGTGGTAACTCATTCAGTGATAAAATATTAACATCATACATATCTCATTAGCCCGAGCTTATAAATGGCTTGTGAAGTCATTTTATAAGAGCTCCCGAAATGACTTAAAACTTACATTATCTTAAATCTATACATACAATAAAATTCTTTGTCGAATCTGTACATGAAATATTTATTTGGAAACTCTTATTGAATTAGTCATTATTATCAATATAGAGGCCGAAACTATAGTTTATAGAATTTTTGTCTGTCTGGAAATGCATCACGAGAAAACCACTGGACACATTTTGATGAAAATCGGTTGATAATAGCTGGTTATCCGGGTCAACATATAGGATAACTTTTACTGCAGGAAAATAATTAATCCCTGAGAAATCTATACTAAACGTTAAAACGCAACTAGGGACGAAACCGAGCGGAGCGAGGGTGAGTTGCTACTATTAAAACATACGCGTATAGTAGCCATTGCACAGTCACCGTTTATGTGGTCGATATTGTTGCGTCCGTACAGCAAACTAGGTCTACCACATTAATTATTTCGAAAAGTTTAATGTTCTGTTGATATTTTTTTCGTTTTTAATTCTTAATCTATACTAATATTATAAAGATCTAAAGTTTGTGAATTGTGAGTGTGTGGCGTTGTATGGAGTAATCTCTGGATCTACTAAACCGATTCAGATGAAACTTATTAAGAAGATAGTTTGAGACTTTGGAAAGGACATAGGATACTTTTTATCACAGAAATCATCCCTTAAGGGGGAGAAAATGGGGATGAAAATTTTTATTGGGAAGCAAGCTTGGGACGAACCCGAGCGAAGCGAGGGTGAATCGCTAGTAATAATATAAATACAATAGCATGTTAGTTGATTTTCATTAACATGGTTTGATTTAGATTAACATGGTTCATGGTTCTTCTGTAATCTTTTTTTTTTTGTGTGCAATAAAGAATTTATCTATCTATCTATGGTTGTGCTTATGTGTAGTTTATTCACTGGAAAGTAACGTAGATACTGCGCATTACATAAGTGGGGTCCGTGAAAGGAAGGTTTCTTTTTAAAATTTTAAAAAGAAACTTGGAACGCAATTATTGAGCTAATCGAAGGCCTGTCTACTGTCTATATAAAAAATGTCGGGAAAACTGCACCTAATAGTGCACAAATGATTATTTCTCTATTAAGTATATTCCTAAGTCCTATATATAAGTATAATCTTAAGATGGACGTGATTTTAAAATTAATTTACTTAGTATTTTAATTAAAATTTTCCATATTTACAGAGCCATGGAGACGGACAAGATGTCGACCGCGTCATCGGTGGGCGCAGAGCGTCGACCACTAATGCAAGCGCTTTTAATTGAACGACGAATTCTTTTCGCTTGCACTGTACTAGTTGGGCTTAGTACATTCATATGGATCACTGCTATCTGTACAAATAAATGGGTTCACATTGAAGGTGGCAGTGGTGAGTCTTCTTCCTCTATATATATTATCTATAAATCAAATATCACTTAGTCTCTGATCACTCAATCACGGAATCTCAAAAAGTATAAAATTAATACTGGTGCCTCAGGGTGCCGGTAGTAGGTACTGGCTTCTAGCTGGTGATCCCGACAGAAACACTTGAATGTATAATGTATGCAGGTGGTCTGCAAAAATGCATTTCCTAACATTAAAAAAAAGTTTAGTAAAGTGTAAGGTATCCGCTAAACAATTATTTTTTTTGAAATTCAACCTCTAAAAAGCTGAACGTTATGAAAATATGTTATTTTTAAAGACATAAAAAAATACGTACATACACAAAAAACGATTAAAAATTTAAGGTTTGAGGTAGTAGATACATCCTCTGGGGAGATGGAGAATGAAACATAGGGGATGATGTAAAATGTTTGTGTTTAGCCTCGGACTTTTTATAACGTAAGTTTAGTTTGTTTCTTTTCGACTTTCGATCAAATTCTCTATCCGCTAATGATCATCCCGCTAGCGATGCAAAGCAAAGCAATTTGTAATCTATAAATACATTACAAAAGATAATAGGTATGTATAATATTTTAACTTTAATGAAAATTCATATTTATCTCTCAGATATCTCATCTTAAAGCATTCTTGGTTGACGCTGACTTCGATAATATCTATCTCTATAGTATATGAAAATCTCAGTTCAGTAATTTTTTTATGTACATTTTAGTGTCTAGAAGTCGTTTTTTTAAACTTTATGCTTTTTAATGTCTGGAGATCGTTTTATTTTATTTTAATTTTTCCATTTTTAATGTAGACATAGAAGTAGAAAATTTTTAAGATGATTTGCGCTTAAGCCATTTAAGTTAGCCTATTTTTCTTCAAATATAACCCGGAAGTGTACGTCCCAAAAAAAAAAAGAAAATTTCCTAATCGGTTAATTTGAGTTATGAGGTAACAAGCATTAAAAAATACAACCGAATTGATAACCTCCTCCTTTTTTGAAGTCTGAAGTCGGTTAATGACCTTAGCATCTATAATTGTTATTATTTTCACAACTTGTTTCATACAGCTACATAGTACACAAACACAACTTAAAATGTTTAAGTACTCAAATCTAATAAATAGCAAGTAGTCTTATTTTTATTATTATTGCTACAGAAATTGTATCTTAAGATAATAAATTCGTCCTCGTCTGCGTTCAAGCATTTGGAAACGATCATATTAATATGAATTGAACAGAATAAATATTAATATTTGGCAACATTTCACTCATGTTATGGCTGCAAGTAATTAATGATTTTCTAGAAATAAAATAAACACATTCTCAGACTATACATAGCTCGTTTGCTATTTCATATAAATTACATTTCGAAATCGAAAGGTATATAGGCTTAAACTATCAAGGAACCATCCATTAACATCCTTACAATCTATTTACAATTCGATTAAGATTGAGACACGCTGACGCCGTTTGTAGATCAAAATCTAAATGAAATGCGTTTGCATTTATTATTAATTATTATGAGCGTATGGCACTCGGGTCGATGTCCGAAGATCTATTTCTGTTTCCGTACGTTACGCGTTATATATAGGCATATATTTGACACTTAGCTTTGGAAATCGTGTAAAACATAATATACTAGTCGTGTATAACATATTATGTAAATATCTAATATATTATTTTTTTTAAATGAACGTTTGTGTGTTAAGTTTAGTAAGACTTAAGAAGTTATACTTCTTTGTTTTTTTTTTCAAAGCATTTAAGTAAAAGCTTATTTTTTATTCGTATTCTTCTCACCAAACCCTTTCATTTAGTATCCATATCACGGGAGTGCATAAAAATTAAAAACGTAGTCCGCAATCTTTGGGAGTCCACCATATTGGATTTATAATGACGTCACTTAGCTTATTGTACTTTGCTCATCAAGCCCTTTCCTTTGCTGTCCATATCATAAGGGGCACTATGGAAATAATAAATCTCCATTTTGTAACGTCCGCCATATTGGATTAAAAATGGCGGTATTTAGGTACTTGTAGTCGTGCAGTCACAAGAATTAAACATGTGTGCCAAATTTCAGCTCAATCGGACACTGGGAAGTGGGTCAAATTTAACATGAAAGATTTGATTACAGACAGTGGGACAGGTGAAATTAAATACAAGCTTGTAATAAGTTTATTTTTATCGATATAAAACACGCGTTGTGTATATAGAAATACCGGAATTAATATCTCGAATATAGACATCACTTCACACTATTCTAAAGGAAGATTTAATGACTAACTTCATACTGTAGTCTAAATCTGTCGCATCGTAATAAATTCACTCATAATTTTTTCCTTAACGCGCCAAAAGAAGTATAACTTCAAAAAATATTTAAATATTTTATAGTGTCTATAAATACAAATTAATTATCATTTTAAACGCGTTAATTTCTAGAACTCAAATTAAAATCAGATATAAATAATTCTTTTAGCATTTCACAACATATTTATTGGGAAAGGTAATGGGATATTTTAATCCACTCTAAGATCCTTGCAGTATGTATAAACTACGTGAGTGGAGCCATGGGTAAAAGCTAGTTAGTAATAACTTGCATCACTTCCCAGTACATAATAGTAAATTATTTTCGCAGTCTATATAAATGTAATTTTAGTCAAAAAGTAAACAAAATGAACAGTATCGCTATCAACTGAACTAACGCATCGCCCTAATGTAACAACAAATAATCTATTAATTACTATGTCCACAGTGTACGGTGAAAATAAATACTCCTTATAATCCACTACAATTACTTAGAACCTATGTTTATGTTGGGACATTATATGTTGGGACATTAACACACAGCGCCATCTTCGTCCATGGTAAGCTACGAGGCTTGTGTTATGGATACCAGATAGTTGATACACTACACATATATAACTTTAAATACATACATATTATAAATATAAACACCCATGACTAGAGTACAAACATTCGCGCTCATCACACAAATGAATGCTCCCAGCGGGACTTGAACCCGCGACCGCTGGCACAGCAAGTAGGGTTACTACAAACTGAGCCAAACGTGTCGTCGAATATATGTATACATTGTGTCTACCTACGAGTATGTACAGTGTACAATCATTTCTGTTCGCAAGAATTTCAAATACTTTATATTATTGATTAAAGTGTTAGTGTAAATCGTTATAAAATCCTCCATTGGGTATAAAGCTCATTTTATATAGCAATATTGAATGTTGCTCCTTTTGTGCTCTACTAGCGATTCACTCTCGCTCGGGTTCATTCCTAGTAAAAAACAAAATAAGTCTATCCCACGGGAACTATACATTTTTCCGGGATGAGAAGTAACCTATGCGCTATTCCAGACTATAATCTATCTCTGTGCCAAATTTCATCCAGGTCCGTTCAGCTGTTCTGGCGTAAAAAATTAACAAACATCTATACTCACAAACTTTCACATTTATCTAATATATTTAAACGAGCAATTCTTGTATATATATAATCTGAATATCGGAAACGGCTCCAAAGATTTTCATGAAATTTAGCATGCAGGGGGTTTCGGGGGCGATAAATCGATCTAGATTAGTTTTATGTCTGGGAAAACGCGTGTTTTCGAGGTTTCATGCGGTTTTGTTTCGCATTATTCCACGCAAAATATGGTCGCTAATTCGCATGTTAAAACATAAGTATCGTGGTCAAGCAACCAAGGCGCAAATTTGACATCCACAGGTGTCTGGGTTCGTATCGCGGTCGGATAGAAAGTTTTTACTTTTGTTTTTTTGTTGTATTTACTCAAATTTTTAAATGTTAATTAAATGTTTTTTTGGCCAAAAACTCCGAGCGAAGCTCAGTCGGTCAAGTACTAATATTAATATGGATTACTTTAAACCAATATAAAATTCCATAATTTCCCCATAAATTTCCCGATGTTAAAAATTGGCTCAAAATAACATTCTGATTCATCTCAATATATATTATGTTTCTATTTTAAGGTGGATAGAGAGTATCTACTCTTATTATAACTATTCAAGTAGCTTGTGTGTCAACTACAAGACGCAGTAAATCAATTCAACCAATTTTAATACGTATATGGAAGGTATAAAGTTAGTTTTTGTGTAATGCATAGGTAATATACAAATATCTGGCGCCAGTGCAAATGGATCATTAACGCTGACTTAGGTGCGAATAACATTATCTGTCTAATTTCCGATTCCATGGCTTTTATTCAAAATAGATATGCCAAATAATAATAATTATTCAGAACGACTAGTTCTACAATCAAAACGTCATAGTAATATCTCTGAATTGTTCAAATTCCTCTTAGGGTAAGTTATAGCGGAAAATAAGTCATACAATTTAATGGTTGTTTTACTTATTAAATAAAACTATCTTTTCGGATTATTTCGCGGATTTATTTTGATTTTTGGTTCCCGACGTTTCGAATGCTTTACAGCATCCATGGTCACGGGAGAGACACACGGTTGTTTTACTAACAATGAGCATTACTTACTTTAGTACATATACCTAACAAAATATTACAAAATAATATAGTCCATACTAATATTATAAATGTAAAAGTGTGTATGTTTGTTTGTTTGTCTTTTTTCACGTCGAAACTGAATGACGTGTTGGCGTGACTTTTGTGTGAAGATAGTAGGAAGGCTGGAAAGTGATATAGGCTACTTTTTACCGCGGGAGATTATCTTATTCCCACGGGAAAACACGTTAGATGTAAATAAAACTCAAAAAATATTTATAATCAGATTTACTTTAAACTTGATATTAATGCTTTTCAATACAATTCAATAAGCGTTTTAGCATTTTTCGAAATTCATCCCATAAGAGGGTATAATTAAAGTATAAGTAAAGTGAAAGTTTATATGAAACCTACTTTTCTAGAGTTTTTTTTTTGTAATTTTAGCGCAAACGAATCTGTGAGTTCTGCTAGTATTCCATAATGTGTTATATAATTTAATTAGAAGTTGCTTAGCGTTAGCCGCGTTTCGTGAACTATAGTTAACCAATAGTGACAGAAGCCGTTAACCGTATAATTTATTTACCTCGGCCAAGGAAGGCAAGTCTACAATAATTAGTAATATTATTTTAAACATTAGAAGTACTGCGAGTATATATATTATATATTATATAATATATATTATAAGATAGAATACGTTTTAAAAGTTTACATTTTGGCTAAACACCTAGAGGGCTCCACTAACACAAGTAACAGTGTGAGAGATATTTAAAATTTATTACAGGTATATTTAAAACTTATGAATATACAAATGCAAAATATAATTTTATATGGTTTATACGAATATACTATGATATATAATGTTCCAACAAAGATACAAATTATCGATGAGAAATAATTGTAGCTATCGTAGCATTTAGAGTTATCAATGTCTTTTGTCTTATTATCTATCACTATGTAAAAATTGTTCCGCGTCACATCCCTTCGTCTTACTATTTAATTGACCGACTTCGTACTGACGAAAGAAGGAGTTCGATGTTCGACGCGTATATTTTATAAATCTAAATATAATAATTTATATAAATATCTCTAAATAAGGATACCTATTATTTTCACTATTATTAAATACTAGCATTGCCCGGGACTCCGCCCGCGTTCAGGTGACCAAAATCCAAATTTTTAGGTTTTACATATTAGTATACTCTTACAATGCAGTTTTTGTATTTTTCTCAGAAATGAGATATTTTCCTGCGGTAAATAGTATCCTATATGTTGACCCGGATAGCCAGCTATCATCATACCAAATTTAATCAAAATCTGTCCAGTGGTTTTCTCGTGATGCGGTGACAGACAGACAAAAATTCTAAAAACTATAGATTCGGACTCTGTATCGATAATAATGTCTATTTCAATTAGATTTTCCAAAAAAATATTTAATGTACAGATTCGACTTAGTTACAATTTTATTATGTATAGATATGTATAGTTATAAACTCTTGTATTCGAATAAATTATTTATTTTTATTTTGCTCTACGTGAGCTGGCATGGTTTCCAATAAATTTTAATAGAAAACCTCTTTATGTTATTTCTTTCTTTAATGTGTCATTCGGGTCGGTTCGCGTGTTTTTTACGTTTTTATGTATTCAGCCCTTTTTATCATCCCAATGCTTGGCACTGGCCTTCCTTAATACGAGGGGTGACCAGTCCGTAGTCCACCAAGCAGTTCTTATATTGTAACCAAACTAGTTAGTCAATTAAATCGGACGATAAAGAGGCTATTATGTATTTATTATATCTATTCCTTATTTCACACAAATGTACCTTAATTTTTTTATTTCTACTATATCTTATACATACTGACAAAATAATAAAAAACAATTATCATCATAGATAGCTATTTACCGTATTTTTGAAAAATCATTTAAATATTATAAAACTATATGTATATTTCTATTTCAGGTATATTTCTGCCAACCAGGGGAGGCTATTTCATGTACAGTGACTCAGGCGTATGGGAGATTTGTCGATATGTATTCCACCCAACTGACAATTCAGTCCTACAACACAATGCGACGCATATGGCGTCTTTGAATCCATTCGATATGAGCGGATTAAAAGGAGAATATTTTACTAGTGAGTAGAATTTCTAATACTTTTTAGTATTATAATATTTATTATTATAAGTAATAAGTTTATTTTATAACTATACGAATAAACTTTAATCCGTATTTAATATGTATAATAAATATTATAAATGGTGAAAGTTTGTGAGTATATATGTATGTTTGTTACTCTTTCACGCCAGAACGGCTGAAAAGATCTGGATGAAATTTGGCACAGAGATAGTTTATAGTCTGGAATAACACATAGGCTACTTTTTATCCTGAAAAAATGTACGGTTCCTATGGAATAGGTTTTTTTTTTCTTTTTTTTAATAAATAATATGGTTATGCTATGGTATGGCCGACAACGCCGGCATTATAAATACACATCGTCACCTTTGATATATTAAAACACTAGCGACTCACCCTTGCTTCGCCCGGGTTCGCCCCTAGCTTGATTCCTCATACAATTTTTTATACCCAACATCACCCCATTAAGGGATGATTTCCGGGATAAAAAGTATCTTATGTCCTTTCCAGGGTCTCAAACTATCTTCTTACCAAATTTCATCTAAATCGGTTCAGTAGATCCACAGATTACTCTCTACAACGTCACAAACTCACAAACTCACAAACCTCTTTATAATAGTAGTTTACATAGATATAAATACACATTTCCAAATAAATATCTCTACAAAAAGTGGCGTTAACATGTGATGTTAAGTCAAATCATAGAATAAAATTTAAAAATCGAAAGATCTAATTGTCTAAATACAAATTTAAGCAAACCACATAAAATACCTTTTTAAACGAAACAACGAGCGTTTTAATTTTGTTATCCGAAAAGAGATTGAAAAAATCGCGAAATCGAATAGTGCGCTTCTTTTTAAGGACACTTTTGAGGCGCTAATTATGTATCTTCTTATGTATATGAATGGTCGTCACGCACAAATTCTCCGCTGATAATAATAGGCACATCCCCTAAGACCCATAATAAAAGTGACATTCCTATATACTACTATCATTTAATTGGAAAGCTTTGGTAAAAACTAGGTTACTTTTATGCCACCCCATGAAGTGATTTCTATAGAATAAATGAATAACCTAAGTATTACTTGAACTTTAGAAATAGATATTCGAGTTAGTATTTACTTAAAAAACTAAATCAAAAATCACAACAATATATTTCGTTTCAATAGATTTTGTAAGCAATTTCGAATCGTCCATTGTTAGATTTAAATTAAATGTCAGTATTGTAAGTCCTTGAGGCAGTAATAATAAGCTCGGAAGGCATTGCTGAGAAGGACCGAAGAATTTTCTTTTAAAATTATATTTTTAATTATAAATAAAGGAATAGTAGTTCCTGACGAAATAATATTATAATACAATATTATTCACCTATGTATGTTACATATAATATTATAATATTAGTGAGTGAGACCTATTTATCTATTGAAGACAAACAAAAAATTTGCCATTATTTCTAGTATATTGCCGTATTTTTACCATTTTTAAATACTCTTTGACTGTTAGCTAAGTGAAACCATGACAGTTCGGGCGAAATATTAAGCTTGAATATTTAGTTTTGAGTATTTCATTTTACGTCTAAATTTTCCATAATAATATTTGTATGAACCACATAAATACCTTCCCTGGTCTAGCTAGATAAAACAAAAACGTGTTGCTAATAATCGATACTATATAATGTATCGACAAGATTGACAAGAATTGGAATATGATCGTAAAAAAGTGGATTATATATTGTAATTCTTTTACTGGCAAAGAATATAGCCTATGTATTACTAAATTATATCTATTGCTACCGTGATAAAAGCGTACACGTAGTTTTCTTTGATGTATACTACGAGTATCAGTCTGTAGATATATGTATGTATAATTATTAATAACTTATTCTATCATTTAACTGCCTCGGTGGTGTAGTGGCTAGCATGTACGGCTGCACACCCGGAGGTCCTGGGTTTGAGTCCCGGGTCGGGCCAAGTTTAGTTATTGAGTCTTTCTGTATAGTAAGTCTCAGTAGCAGCCCGGAGTTGGGAAGTTGGCGGTGTTTTACCCCCATGCCTCGGAGAGCACGTAAAGGCGTCAGTCCTGCGCCTTAACTCTCACTGGTCGTGTCGAGCAGTCGTCCCACCGGAGTATGAGAGTGACAGGAATAGAGAGTGCACGTTGTGTCTGCGCGTACACTTGTGCACTATAATATCTCCTGCGCAGTTGGTTAGTCTCAATGAGATTGGCCGCCGTGGCCGGAATCGGTCAGGAGAACATCATTCCTATCATTTAATTTTCTTAAGCAAAGCATTATTTATCTTAAATTTAATAATAAATCGAAGATGCCTTCTTCGATCGGAGATGCTTTGTGTATTTTTTTTCGTTGTGTTTGTTTTTTAAGGTGTACAGTAAAGAGTATTATTAAAACACGTCTATTTGTTAAATTCAATCTTCAAACTTAGTAAGGATTTGTTGTTCATTAACTAGTTTTTTGAGACATATTATAACAACATCATTCAAAATTTGTGGCTATTTCTGAAACTACAAATAAAAGGTATTTAAGAACAGACATATTTTATTTAAAATTTACATACCAATATTTGCAACTTTTTGTTAGAAATACGTTTACACCATTTAAAATATTTCTCAAAAACTGGAATCTTTAAAACTCAACGTAAGTCGCGTAAAAAACGCACAGTTATCACACTACCATTATAAATACGAAAGTTTGTATGTGTGTGTATATATATTACTTCACGCTTATATTTCTTTCACTGGTACCAAACGGTTTAGATAAAATTTACTACACAATAAAATTTGCCAAAAGGTCTTCCTGTAAATCTATACATATAATAAAATTCTAACCGAGTCGAATCTGTACATTAAATATTTTTTGGAAAATCTTATTGAAATAAACATTATTATCGATACAGAATTTTAGAATATTAGTCTGTCTGTCTTTCTGTGTGTCTGGGAACACATCACGAGAAAACCACTAGACAGATTTTGATGTGGTATGATGATAGCTGGTAATCCGATTCAACATACAGGATTCTTTTTATTGTGGAAAAATATATCATCTCTGAGAAATCTATGCTAAACGTTAAAACGTAAATATGGACGAACCCGAGCGGTGCGAGGATGAGTTGCTAGTAAATACAAAAGACACTTAGGGACATAACTGAGCGAAACGAAGATAAATCGCTGTTAACTAATAAATAAAAAAAAAACAAAGAAATAAGCTCAGTAATTGGACCCAGTTATGCAAAAAACAGCCATGTGCGTAAAAGTACCAACAGAGTTATAAGCATTTTATTATAAAAAATAAAATAATTATAAAAAATAAACAACACTTATATAAATATTGTTCTAATTTAAAATAACCAGAAAAACAAAACATAACCCAAGTGCAACTATCGACAGAAAAAATGAAATGAAATGAAAATGAAATGAAATATTCTTTATTGAACACCATTATTTTACATTATACAGTTGAAACAGATTAAAGGAATAAAGTACAATAGGCGGCCTTATCGCTAGAGAGCGATCTATTCTAGGCAACCTTTGGGTAGAGAGAAAGAAGAGAGAAGGAAGGGGTGCAAACAATCTTAAAGAGAGATACAATAAATACATACATATACAAACAGATATATACATACATACCATATATATACATACATACACATATACATACATACACACATAAACATTATACATATAAAATAAAATATGACACCATTTAGCACTTATAAGTTAAGATAATATTCATTTATTAATTTTTTAAATAGTGACAGCGAATCAGCCTGTTTTACTTTATTTGGTAACGAGTTCCACAGACGGACAGATTGGACAGTAAAGGAGCGAGTATAGAAGGAAGAAGAGTGTGAAGGAACTTGTAAAGTTAGATTAAGGTTAGAACGAAGAGAAAAATGGTGAGAATCACTTAAAAATTTAAACCTATCTTTAAGATACTGAGGTGTACAGGGATTAAATAGAATATTATATAAAAGACAAAGAACGTGAGTATTTCTGCGAAGACGGATAGGGAGCCACTTGAGCTTTTTACGAAATTCGGAAACGTGGTCATATTTACGAAGTCCAAATATGAACCGAATGCAGAGATTTTGAATTAGCTCAAGTTTATTAAATTGTTCCTCTCTTAAATCGAGGTAACAAGTATCAGCATAGTCAAGAATTGGTAATAAAAGAGTGTTAGCCAAGGCAATTTTAGTGGGAATGGGTAGAAAGTTGCGTAAGCGACGTAATGATGCAACGGCAGCAAACATTTTTCTGCTCACTTCGCCCACCTGTGACTTCCAAGATAATTTCTCGTCTAATATAATACCTAGATTTCTCACTTTATCGCTGTAAGGAATTTGTATACCGTCAAGCATAATAGGTGGTAATTGTGATAAGGATATTTTTGATTTTAATTTTGAACTACCTATAATTATAGCTTGTGTTTTACCTGGATTCACTATTAAGCCTAATGATTTACTTTTTTGCGAAATATTAAGTAGGTCAGTATTAATATGATCGATGGTTTGAGTTAAGTTTAATACAGTCGTTTGGCGGTAGATTTGTAGATCATCTGCATAGAGGTGGTAGGGAGAAGAAATATAGTTACAGAGAGAGTTAATAAATATAGAAAATAAAAGAGGAGACAACACGCCACCTTTTTGCATAACTGGGTCCAATTATACTTTAGCAGCGTACAAAAGCTCAATACCTACATCCAAATAACATTCAAATTAAACAACATTGAAAGAAAAAGTTCAAACAATTTCATTTGTCAATAAATTCTATTATAAGATTAAAGAACTTAATTTCGACGTTTTTATTCTCTCTTTATATTATTTGTAATATTTATTTATTATAAACTTCGTTATTTATTACTAAGAGCACAAAAATATAGATATAAATGATAAAAATATTGCCGCCGCCTTTCATTATAACTGTCTAATTAGCTTTAAGTCGCATGGTTATTGCTTGCTTATAGGTACTTAAAATTATATATATATA